GGTTGGGTAGGACAGGGTCTCTGAGCAGAGGCTGCCTGTGAATTTGCTTTTAGCCAAAATGACCTTGGACTGCTCATTCCTGCTGGCCACGTGCCGGCCACTACCGGCAGCTTTCATTTTGTTGGTGTTTGTGTATATGTGCCCATGCCTGTGGGTGCTCAGGTATTGATTACAGGAATCTTCATAAACTGATCTCCACTGTGTTTTTGAGACATTGAACCTGGAAATTACTGATTTGGCTAGACTGGCTGGCCAACAGGCCCCAGGGTCCTTCTGTCTCTGTGTTCCCAGTACTAGGATTATAGACACCTACTCCTGTGCCTAGCTTTTAAAACATGGGTGCAGGGATTGAACTCGTGCTGGTGGGACAAGTATTTTAGTGACTGAACCATCTCACTTAGCCCCGTCTTCTCATTTTTAACCTTTCTTTTTCTTACGTATCTCTTCCACATTTACTCTGCCAAGGGTGTCCAGCATACTATACATAAACCTCTGATGTACCGGTCACACTTGTAACCTCTTCAGAAAAGCTTTTCTCAAGTAGAGTGGGAAAAGGAACCAGCTCCCAGTCCTCTGTATAACATGGAAACTTGGCCTGTGTGGCTGGATTCAGCCTTCACAATAGCCCTTAGATAGGCCTTGAGTATGAGTTTGTGTAAGAGTCACCTTGTCTGGGTAGCTAGCACATTGGGGTAAGTGGTAAGTTCTTGAGGCTGTGCCTTGCTTCCTGCCTGACGTTATACACACTTGCTGTAAACCGTGACCTCAAGGTTCGTCTCCATTTATGTTGTTAACTCATTTCTGACCTATGTGTGTGCTGAAGAAGAAGAAACTAAAGGGGAAAGGTGGAGAAAAATTCAGTTTCTATGCTTTGTCTAAATACGCACTGCAGATAAGAAAGAATAAGACCTACTCTTATTCTTGGGGAGTCAGTGATGGGTATTTAGAAGTGCACAGCAACATGGAAATTGCATATGAAATTTTCCATGCTCAGTTTTACAGTGGTGAGAAGATTTTTAATGTTTAAAAGAATCTCACAGTGTCTTAGAATTGCTACTAAGGAGATATGTTAGGCTTGCTGGCAGGGAAAGGCAGGTGGTGTGTTAGCAGTTCATCTTTTCCCATTGGCTGTGTTTGGGGTATATTATGGTTTGGAGTAAACTTTCCCATCTGGTTCAGATATTTTGATTTTAGACTATTTATACCTGTTGTCTAAGACTAGATAAAATTCCCCCTCCCCTCCACACAGTGCTACTTTGTGAAATGCCAAGAAATTTTACTAGTGAGAAAAGAACAGATCCTCAGCATTCCTTGACGCTGTTCCACAGTGCAAGCCATGGTATTCCAGGCAGGGGTACTTGGGAGCCAGAGGCAGGAAGGAGCCTAAGAGTCAGGCCAGTTTAGGCTATTTAGTGAGACTGTTTGGATAACACACGTGAAGACTCAAGTTTGGTTCCCAGTGCCACATAAAACTGGGAGTGGTGGCACCTATTGGCAGTCCCAGCACTCAGGAAGTAGAGTCAAGAGGATCAGAAGTTCCTGGTGGGAACTGGAGAGATGACTCAGGGGTTAATAACAGTTGCTACTCTTCTGGAGGACTCAGGTTCAATTTCCACCATCCACAAGGTGGCCTATGAACATCTGTAACTCGGGCCCCGGAGGATTCCAGGCCCACTTCTGTGCTCTCAGGCACCAGCTGTACTGTATAGAGATCCACAGACAGACAGAACGCCCATGCACAAATAATCATTCAAAAAGAACTCACAGTTATTAGTTTGCGGCCAGCTTGGACTACATGAGACCCTATCTCAAAAAAAGAAAAAGTGGGGCTGGAGAGATGGTTCAGAGGTTAAGTGCACTGGCTGCTCTTCCAGAGGTTATGAGTTCAATTCCTAGCAACCACATGGTGGCTTACAACCATCTATAATGAAATCTGGTGCCCTCTTCTGGCATGCAGCTGTACATGCAAACACAACATTATGTATATAATCTTTTTTTAAAATAATTTCTTTAATTTTTTATGTGCATTAGTGTGAAGGTGTCACATCCCTTGGAATCTGCATTACAGACAGTTGTGAGCTGCCATGTGGGTGCTGGGAATTGAACCCGGCTCCTTTGGGAGAGCATACAGTGCTCTTAACCACGGAGCCGTCTCTCCAGGCCCAATCTTTTTTTTTTTTTTTTTAAGTTAATAAAGTACCTGTGACTTTTAATTTTTATAAACTATTGTAGGGCAGGACATGGTGATGCACATTTTTAGCCCTGGTACTCTGGAGGCAGAAGCAGGCACATCTCTGTTATTTGCAGGCCACCCTGGTCTAGACAGAGAGTTCCAAGTCAGGGCTGCATAGTGAGAACCTGTTTTGTTTTGTTTATTTTTATTTATTTTTTCTTAAAAGAGGACATTTCTCATTCATTTTCATTCTCTATATGGGTTTTCTTTTTTTCTTTTTTTCTTAGCCCTCTTAAAGATAGGCTACTGTATTGAAAATTGCATTCTAGAAAACTACCCTAGACTGAGTCTTCCCACGACCCCAGCACGATTGATTGATATATATATATATATATCACGATTGATTGATATATATATATATATATGTAAATTGACTTTGCTGTCCCTCTCTGCTGGGAGCCACAGGTGGGCAGAATGATGCCAGGTTCTCTTCTGGTTCTTGAGAGATGTTGAGCTTTATTAGAGCCTGGACTTTGTCAGATTTTAATAGAAAATGTCTCAGTGAGACACAGAACTTCTTACCTTAGAAATAAATAGTTCCTTTTATTTAAAGTGTGTCTCTGCCTATCCATGATGTCTGTAGAGAGAGCTGAACATTAGAAAATGCCATGACCGTCCATTGGGACCCTGTAGGTCCTACAGTGTAGCTTACTTTGTGCTTGGTTGCTTCTTTGGCCCACGGTGGTTATTCGATGAAAGTAAGAGTTGCTTAAGCTAGCTGTATGATGAGTGATGCACACTCAGTTTTGTTCTTGTGTGGAGATGTGGAGGCTGTTGCCAGTCATCAGATAGTGTCCAGGAGCAACTCTGCTTTGTCCTCCTCCAGCTAGCTTATTACAACTCACAGAGTACCTCACAATGGGAAGCACTTAAGTGTCAACAAAGATGTGACAAAGTGCTCTGTATAAATGCAGGTCTTTATGGTTAGTTTATAAACCAGAGAATTGGCCAAGCTCTATAGTTTTGTAGTTTGCTGCCTTGGCTCCCACTTTTTGCATAGGTAGAATAGTAAAGTATAGATTGTTAGTACAGTTTAGGATTGATAGTACAAAAATCAGGTTAGAAATTAACCCTACTTATTGGTACCTTTATGAGCCTAGCTATTCACATGTTCTCTTCCCTAATGGTAGTTTGTTTTATGTACAACAACTCAGAGAGGCCTAAGTGACTCCTATTACTTGTTAAAGTTACATAACAGTTCAGTGTCAAGTGTTCTAAACAGTTTCCTATTAAGATAATTTTTAAGAAGACAGCAAGCATTTCGGACATGGCGGTGCACACCTATAATCCCAGCACTCAGGAGGCAGAAGCAGATGGGTCTCTGTGAGGTCCAGGACAGCCAAGGCTACACAGAGAAACCCTGTCTCAAACATAAATAAATTAAACAAAGAAAGAAAGAAGGAAGAAAAGGAAAAGGAAAATAAAGGACAGCATAGCAGTATTTTGTTCATTTTAGGCAAGTGGAGCTGATTATGTTAAGGAAAAGCCAGGAGTGGAGGCCACAGCATTAATCCCAGGATTTGGGAGGCGAAGATAGGCAGAACTCCGTGAGACCAGGGTGGTCTAGTCTGTGTAATGAGTTCCAGGACAGCCAGGGCTACATAGTGAGACACTTGTCTCAATAAAAAGAAGGGGGCGGAGAATTAAGCTTGCTTTACTTAATTAAAAATCAACCCCATAGCCGGGCAAGGTGTTGCATTGCTGTAATCCTAGCACTTGGAGAGACAGAGGCAGGCACATCTCTGATTCAAGGCCAGCCTGGTCTAGAAATTGAGTCCAGGACAGTGAAGGCTACACAGAGAAACCCTGTCTTGAAAAACAAAACAGCAACAACAAAAAAATCAATCCCAAAGTTTTGCAGTAGATGCTAAGTAGATAATGAATAATAAAAGTGTCTTCAGTGCTCGTCCACACGACACTGTCTTAGTAAACACTGTCTTCCTTCATTTTGTCAGCTAGGCGGGATTGATACTTCAGTGTTATTTGTATGACTCAGCTCCTGGGTAGCTGGCTAAATGTGTGAGGCATGTTGCAAACAAATTGTATATCCTTCTGATGTTTTTTAAAATGGATGATTTTAGAACTTGGTGGTTACTGATTCTCAGAATTTTGTCTTCTCCGCAACTGACAAACGAAAAATCACCCGGTTGTAGAGTGGATCTAGTGAGCTGTGCAACAGATGTCAAAATGCTGTAGCTCTACTTCATAGACCTGAAGCCAGTTGTAGTTACCGTTCATTTATAACTACTGAAAGCCAGGACACTTTTCTTTTGTGGTTATGCCAGTTAGCTCCTTTATCTCCATGGTCTACAGTGCCCATGTTGCCACCTTTGTTTGTGGGCTCTCACTGTGGTGGCTGATGCTGAAGGAAACTTCCTGAATGACCCTCTTGAGTGTTTGACGGCCTCTTGTGTCACTAAACAGCTGTCAGTAGATCATGCAGCGCACAGTGTGGCAGGCATCTTGCAGCAGAGGATATTTATTCATCGAATACATGCTGTATGCTAGACACGATAGTAAGCTCTGAAGATATGTTGGTGAACTTGACAGGTGGCTCTTGGCATGGTAGCATTTCCATTCTAACTGAAAATGGGAACTCATGCAAGCCTGTAAAATAATTCTATCCCAAACCTTTTAAGGAGTATAGCGCTTCAGAGTGGATGTAGTTTAATGATTTTAAATTTTGTATGTTGTGAGAAATTTTGTGGCCCAAGAAGGAAATTGTGATATAATTTTTTTCCTCATTTTATTTCTTTTCTCTTTGTAGCTGAGATGCTCCAAGTCCCTTGTAGCTGTCTGTGGAAGGAAATCAGGAGTGCTCTGCTCATGGTGTAAGAACAGCCTTGTTCTTAACGAGTTGGTGCTGTGACGCAGAAAGAGTTGCACGCGGGCTCCAGGAGTTTCTTGTTTTCAATTGAGTACTTAGTTCTCTGTGGATGGAGAAAGAGTTGAGTCTTAATTGCCCTGTTTCAGGGTGTTCTGTGTAGTCTGAACTGGGCCTTTTCCCAATGAGCTACACAGCCAGTCCTTGTCAGGAGCTGGTTGAAAACTGTACAGTGCATGCAGAAGGAATGGCACAGGAAGAGAGCCATCGAAGTCAGGCACCACCCACCTTCTACCATGGTGCCAGCCAGGAGCTTGACCTGTCCACCAAAGTGTATAAAAGGGAGTCTGGAAGCCCTTATTCTGTGCTAGTGGACAGCAAGATGAGCAAACCACATCTCCACGAGACCGAAGAACAGCCATATTTCAGGGAGCCAAGAGCAGTGTCTGAAGTGCACACTGTCAAGGAAGACCGGGAGAATTCTGATGACACAGAAGAGGAGGAGGAAGTCTCTTACAAAAGGGAGCAGATCATAGTGGAGGTAAACCTTAATAATCAAACGTTAAATGTGTCTAAAGGGGAAAAGGGTGTCTCTTCTCAGTCCAAAGAGACTCCTGTTCTTAAGACAAGCAGCGAGGAAGAGAGTGAGGAGGAGGAGGAGGCCACAGATAACAGTAGTGACTACGGAGAGAACGAGCGGCAGAAGAAAAAGGAGAAGCGAGGGGAGAAAGTCAGGGTTGCACAAAGGCGAACCCGGAGAGCTGCCTCTGTTGCCGCAGCTACCACTTCCCCTACCCCCCGCACAACTCGAGGCCGGAGGAAGAGTGCAGAGCTACCCAAGCGGAAGAAGCGGGCTGCCGCGGAGCCTAAAGCGCCAGTGCAGAAAGCTAAGTGCGAAGAGAAAGAGACTCTGACCTGTGAGAAGTGCCCCAGGGTGTTTAACACCCGCTGGTACCTGGAGAAGCACATGAACGTTACTCACAGGCGCATGCAGATCTGTGATAAGTGTGGCAAGAAGTTTGTCCTGGAAAGTGAGCTGTCCCTTCACCAGCAAACAGACTGTGAAAAAAACATTCAGGTAGGTCTCATCACCAAGAGGGCAAAGTTTCCAGGATAGAGCCTGGCTGTTCAGAGTCATCTGGTGTCTGCCCAAGAGAATAAATGCACTAGAGGCTGAAGGGACAGATTCCGACAATATATCGTTTTAGACGCTGCTGCTTGGGTCTTTTCAAAACCGAGGCTTAATCCTGTGTTTCAAAAGCTTTACACTTCCCTGACGCTGGACTAGTGGGAACCCAGGTGCACTGGAAGGGGGCCCTGTTCTAGATGATTGACTGGGACGTAGGTCAGCGCCGACCTTGCATTGAGAGTCCTGTTGCAGGACCTGTGGGATAATTTGTTCTGGCATCTTCTGTCGGGGTGAGAGGTCTTGAGTGAAGGTCAGGAGTAGAGAAGGGTTCCTTTCTATTTAAAAGGATGCCAGAGTCTAGAGCAGCTGATGGGGACAGAAACTATGACTCAGACCCGTGGAAATGGAAGATCTCCAGCAGTGAGTTTCCTTTCACCGGTGGAGAGATGGCAACACTAAATGTGTCAAGAGCGAGCCCATGGGAATATGCAAGCTTTAAACAGAGGCTGAGCAGTGTGAAAATGTTGCTTACCTGGCAGTAGGGTTATATAACCCTGCTGAACAGTGCTGTCACTGTAACAACATGCTATTCAAGCCAGGCTGGTGTCTTGGAAAGACTGTGCTGTGACAGCTTAAAAAGACTGTGCTGTGACAGGTTAAATGTATTGCAGCTATATTGGTTTGTGCATATGTTTGTGTCTTAGTGGATATTCATACAAGGTAAGTCTGTTATGTTTCCATACAATATATATATTGCTATGTATATACTCTTTAAAAGGTAACTCTTTAAAAGATAAATTGTTTTACTTTTTGAGAACTGCTAATATTGGTGACCACCTTTAATTTTCTCTTTTGACAATTGTTTTTTTCATCAGTAACTGAGATCAGTGCCTTTCTTTAGAGAGATTTTTTTTCTTAATCCACTGATTTGACTTGTATGTCATTATTTGATCAAGATGTCCTGGGTGAATAAACGAAGACTGGCCGCCTTCTGCAGTTGTCTGGGCAGGGAGGAGTTGGTTGCAATGGAGTGTGGTCCCGTGCTGCCCCCTAGAGGTCAAACTTGGCTTTCATAATGGCTCCTTACTGAAAAGATTTATTTGTGACTCTAGGACCTGCTTGTTTTGTGGATTTGTTCTCTCCCTCCTTCCCTCCTCCCCTCCCTTTCTTCCTTTTTTTAAACTTGAATTTGCTGAAATTATAGAAAACAACAGTTTTTGTTTTGTTTGCGAGCTTCCATGGTTTTCCTCGTCATAGTATGTTCACGCTTGTGTGAGTTCTGCTGAATGAAAACTTGGCACGCCCCTAAGCTCAACAACTGGCTGGTCTTGAAGAGGACCTGAGGTTGGTTTTCCAGTACCCACGTGGCAGCTCCTAACTATCTGTAACTCTAGTTCCAAGAATCCAGTGCCCTCTTCTGTCCTCCTTGGGCACCAGGCACACATGCAGTATACATACACAAGGCAGGCTGAAACGCCCATGTTCATAAAGGAATATTTTTAAAACAACGCGCTTCACATTCCTAAAGAACCTTGTACTGGGCTTCTTCATTGAGCTCCTGATAATCCTGACTGCTCATACTAAGAAAACTAACGCTTACAGAAAAGGCAGCTTTCAAGGGTTGTCTGTCCTTTCCCAGGGCGGTGTTCGGCCAGCCGCTTGGCTCTTGGCTCCTGGGTTTTGTCTTCTGCAGTGGCAGTGGTACTCAAGAGCCTTTAGTGACTGAGTTCTTTTACTGCTCATTTCTCAGAGCCTGGCAGTTGCCAAGAACTTTCTGGTATTGTTCTGTTGATTTAGTCCAGCCATGATTTGAGGAAATGGTCATTGTGACGTAAGGAGGTCTGCAATTGAGTGGGTAGGGGGTGTGCCAGGAGTTTGGAGGTTATATTAGCTTCTTTCAGAGGGAAATGGCAACGGAGTGAGTCAAATTTAGGGAACGTTAGGAAACCTTGAGCATTTGTTACAGAGTTCTTTAAACGGTGTTTTCCAAGGCATAAAGGACATTTTTATACTCTTGAGATCTATAATGCTTATATATCTTGTCTTTATTTGTGTTAATTTCAAAATTATTTATGTTCTCTGCTAAACACATCTCAACTGCATGGCAGCCTGGGTAGGAGGTCTTGCTGTGCTTGCTATGGACGTCTGTGCTCTGGCAAGCCTGAAGGCGCTCCAAGGCATGCCGGTACATGCTTAGGCTCCCCACACCTTGGAGATGGAGGCAGGATCATGATTTGAGGCTGACCTTAGCCGTAAAGTCAGTTTAAGGCCACCCTGGGCTATATAGTGAGGCACCCTATCTCAAAATAAGCAACAACAACAAAATACATAAACACCAAACAAAGTGGATGCCCTTTTGCTAAGTGGAAACTGGAAGTGGTCATAGCGATTAACTCTTTTGGTGCTAGTGGAACTTTCCACTTCTTGCCTTAGATTTTGCCACTGTTGGCACACTCCCAAGGTGTCTAAAAGACGGGTCTTGGAAAGTAGACCAGACAGATGTTGGTGTTAGAATATGGACTCCATGGAGGAATTTTTTTTTGTCAAGATTCTGGCCTTGTGCCATGAATCTAAAGTAACTCCATTTCATCTGCCAGGAGGCAGGATGGCCTCCTGAAGCCTTGATAAATAAAGGTTCTTTTTGTTTATCCTGCTCAGTGTGTTTCCTGTAACAAATCCTTCAAGAAACTCTGGTCCCTTCATGAACATATCAAGATTGTCCACGGATATGCAGAAAAAAAATTTGCCTGTGAGATTTGTGAGAAGAAGTTCTATACCATGGCTCACGTACGGAAACACATGGTCGGTAAGTCTCTGCCCCATGTTCTCCACCTGCGGATTCTTTGAAGTACTCTGTGCTCCACAGTGGGCAGCATGTGTCAGTTGTAACTTGTTGAGACTAAATGCAGCTTGTCTTGAGTAAGCATCATCAAGTTGGATGGTGTAGTCTTCCCTACCCAGAATTCCTTTCAGCACTGCTGTTTGTTTTCTCTTTGGAGCACTAAAGTGAGAGGTAGAAATTAAGATGGCATAATTGCCTCACTTTGTGACATCTGTCTCCTCCAGTCTGAGCTTTTTGGTGGAATTGTTTTGAGTTTAAATGCATTCTCTGTTACAGCACACACAAAAGACATGCCATTTACATGTGAAACCTGTGGAAAGTCTTTCAAGCGTAGCATGTCACTCAAGGTGCACTCGTTGCAGCATTCTGGAGAGAAACCCTTCAGATGTGAGGTAAGGAACAAGCGCAGGCCAGGGCCAAGGCTGGGGGTGTGTTGACAATGCAGCAGCAAGAATGAAGTGCAGGCTGCAAAGCGTGGGGCTGGGAGGCTGTGTGCCACTGAAGCTTCAGGCGTGCACCAGGAGTATGGTGTGTTCTCACTGCTAGGACAAGAAATGTCCCATGAGCACACAGCTGAATCTCCTCGTGTAACTTGGGAGTCATGTGCAGTAAATGATCTTTCCTTCTCAGTGATTCAGAAAATACGAGCCGGTAACGATTACATGACAGATTTTCCGTGTTCGTAACTCAGCTGCAGGAACATAATGACATAGCTGCCAGAAGCAGGTTGTGTTTGAGTGAGATACCTGTAAGCCTGTGAGGGCTGGGTGAGACTCTGCCTGGCACCCAGCCCTGTCCTCTGTGTCCGTGCAGAACTGCGATGAGAGGTTCCAGTACAAGTACCAGCTCCGCTCCCACATGAGCATCCACATCGGGCACAAGCAGTTCATGTGCCAGTGGTGTGGCAAGGACTTCAACATGAAGCAGTACTTCGATGAGCACATGAAGACGCACACTGGTAAGGTCTCCTGGCGAAGGATAAATTACCCCTGTGCTTCTCCGTAGCCACCTGCCAGGCTGTCCTCAGGCCCAGCCATACGGGTCCATTATTTCCCTGTTCTGTTTTGTCTCGAGGTGAAGTCTTGCTGCACAGCCCAGGCTGGTCTCAGACTCACAGCAATCCTCCTGTCCTAATCTCCCAGGTGCTGAGGTCAAAGGTGTGCACTACCACGAAGGGCACAGATTTGCGTTTGTGTTGAAATTTTCTCTTCTTAACTATTTTTTAAATACATAAATAAATATTTATTTATTTTTATATCAATGTATGTGAGTGCTCTATCTGCAGGCCAGACAAGGGCACCAGATCTCACTATAGATGGTTGTGAGCCACCATGTGGGTGCTGGGAATTGAACTCAGGGCCTCTGGAAGAACAGACAGTACTCTTAACTGCTAAGCCATCTCTCCAGCCCTCTTCATAACTATTTTTAAAATAATTATTTATGTGACTACTTACTGGTTTTTTGTTTTGTTTTGTTTTGTTTTTTGAGACAGGCTGTCATACTGAAGCATAGGTTGCTCTGGAACTCACAGCAATCCTCCTGCCTTCAGCTCCTATGTGCTAGGATTGCAAGTGTGAGCTACCATGACCAACTATAAATAACTTGCTTGTTTGTTTGGTCTTATTTTTTGAGACATAGTCTCTGTAGACCAGGCTGTCCTTGTCTTTGCCTCGGGGGTTTTGAGATTAAAGGCATTAAAACATTCTCAATGTTCTTAGAGTCGTTTGGATTTGATTTCCAATTACCTTTCAGGAACACATTTATTAAAGAAAATTAAATAGATTTTAATCCTCTGAACATGTAGGGATGTATGTTCCATAGAATTGATAAGAATCTTATAAACATTTACTTATCCAGCTTCCAAAGGACTGGCTGAAATAATAGCTCCTTTTACAAACACTAGCACTATCCACAACTGACCTTGGTTCTCTACCAGTTACACTGTGTTTGCAGCCCAAATGTTTTATTGTGTGGTTATTTTAGTTGTTATGTAAATTTTTATGATCAATATTCTTTGGCTAATAGGCCAAGAATGTTTCCTCTAAAAGAATATAGTTCTTCTCCATTATCAAAGTAACACATACTTATTAAATATGTTAGAAGGTGCCAGCCAGAAATAGTTACACATGCTTTTAGTCCCAGCACTTGAAAGGCAGAGGCAGATGGATCTCTGTGAATTCAAGGCCAGCCTGCTGTATATAGCCTGCAATGAAAATTAGGAACTAAATAAAATCTCACCACAGAGACACCCCAAGATTTAACCAAATAATAATATTTTGGCTGATTTAACCTGTTTTTTTCATTTATTTATTTATTTATTTATTTATTTATTTATTTATTTATTTATT